TCTCTCCCTCCCTCTATCTCCCTCTGTCTCCCTCCCTCTCCCTGTCTTTTAACACTGAACATTCTTCAATTAAGGATCCCTTATTTATAAGGGTGGCCCACTTACCCCGGATACTTTCGTAGTTATTCTGTGCCGCATGCAGGCGTGTGTGGACGCGTTGTCTACACGAAAGGGGCTAAAAGGCGACGTGCTGGGAGAAGGTATAATAGGCAAGCCCTCGCGCACGGCTGCATGCGGTACAATATGACTAAGAAATTTTTCCGGGGTATTTGGGCCATCACCTTGTGCCCCCACTACCTTATGCCCTGTACACGGTAAAAACGATGTCTCATTTTTTGAGGAAAAAGGGAAAACTTTTGAGGAACTCCCCTGGTATGACAAAAACTCCTCAGATTTCGAGGAAGTCCCCCCCCCCCCCCCAAAAGAAAAGTGTGACTTTTCCTCATTTTTTGTGAAGATTCCTTTAAATCTAAGGCGAGATCGGAGAACTCTTCCTCAAACATGGGAGTTCCTCAAAGTTTTTCGTTTTTCCTCAAAAAATAGGACATTGTTTTTACCGTGAAGGTACATGTGCTGTGCATTATCATGAGAAAATGTTTTCTTATGTGTTGTATTATTTTTCTCTACACTGATAAACGTTAGTAGTGTGCAACTGCAAGTTGAACACGTGTAAGTATTCAATTTGCAGTGTATTTTTGATTAATGTTGATTTGTCTTGTTTCCCCATCAGGTTGGCGGTTTCGCTGCGGCCCTGCGAGGTCCACCCCTATCGTCCCGCACCACCCACGAGGATTAAGGCTTGCATCACCACGCACCGGCACCACCACCACCACACGGTAATGATCACTGATAAGATGCTGTCAGTCGCGCATCATTTTTTTTCGGCTCCCCCCTTTTTTTTCCACTTTCCTCGCCCCGCCACCTCTAATCGTTCCGCACACAACGCGATCAACTCGTTTGCCAATGCTGCTGCTGCTGTGCGGCGCTGTGCAATGGGCTTATGCTCTGTGGTTACAATACCACCACCACCACCACCACCACCACCACCACCACACACACACAATCCTAGATTTTACGCTTCGGAGAGTCAGGTGTGAGAAAAAAATGTATTTTTTTTTCTTTATTTCCAAAGAAGTCAAACTATATTTTTGTTTACTGTTTGTCGGCCGTTTTTTTTTATTTATTTATTTTGTTCTGCGTGCTGTGCACTATTGCGGGCCCGGTTATGAATAACTCAGAGGTGCGCTGTCAGTCGGCGCAACAGATGTCACCCGGCGACACATCTCTCTAGGAGCCGCCGCCGCCGCAGAAGCCGCGTGGGCAGGGAAAATAACAACCCTTCGCGTACGTTACATACAAAATATTATTTCTCTTTTCCCAAACACAACGTCACGAAACTCTTTAAGGTCGTATTACTTCGCGGGAATTATATTTTTTAATACATTACACTGAAAGTGTTAAACGCATAACAGGTCAAATAAACAGCGATCCGGTGCTGAACGAAATAAACCGCCACAGCGAGAGCTTTTATATGTTTAAAATGTTATCCGCTTGCTTCTCATGTGCCACGTCGCAATGTGGTCCCCTTTGTGCTCTTATTCTGCCCTGCCGCCTGCGGCGCTATGATGAGAAATGTAATACTCAACTACCGCAGCTGTAAACCCCCCCCCCCCTC